GGGGGGGGGGCAGATCTCTCAAGAACCCGTTATCCTGGGATTCCCCCCGCTCCCCGACCGACCGACCGACCGACCCAAGCCGGCTCTCTCCACTTTCCCCTCCAACCCCGCATCCTCCCACCCCTTTTTTTGCGCTTGCTTGGTCGCTTCGCTGTCCAAGCCTCGGAGCAAAGAAAAGTCAGCGGGAGCCAGGGGGAAACCTTAACCCCGGTTAGCCCCCCCCCCCCCCGCGCTCCCCTTGGCCGCCTTGGAAATGTCATTTCTTCGCGGGGGTTTGTTTGGGGGGGTGTCGCTCCTCTTCTTTCCATCTCTTTGCGGGGCAAATAACACGCCGCTGATCTGAACCGCTTGCGCTTTAAAGGGGGGGTGGGAGGGATCGGGAAGGAAAACTCGCGCCCCTGTTCGTGAGTTTGAATTCTGCCGTGGGAAGAGCCACCTGGAAAAAACTGGTCTTGTGGCCCTTCCTTCATAAATGAAGAGCAGCTTGGATTGCGTGGGGCAAGGGAAGCCCAGAAGCCCTGAAGGGAGCTATTTATATATTTATTCTTTATTGTTTATGCGGTCGTAAATTGAACTGGGTTGTTCCCCAGGCTAAGCCTTGGAAAAGTCTTTTAACTACCATACTTAATGGTGGAAGTGTCACTCAAGCTTTGTTTCAAGACAGTTGGGTAGAACTTTATTTATTTATTTATTTATTTTGATTTGTCAATCGCTTACGAGATAAAAGGGGTAAGTATATACATAGTTACGAATACATGAAATGGGTACATATAAGAAAAATAAAAAGAAACAATAGGAACAGGGACGGTTAGGCACGTTGGTGCGCTTATGCACGCCTTGTGGACAATTAGAGGCCCATTGGCTATTCTAGCAATAAGAGATGCCCTGGACACTGTGCACTGACTGAATGTAGCCTATGGATATGATTTGATGTTGGTGTCTATGTATTAACACAGGAAAAAATGTCCCAGCATTCTTACCAAATGAAAAAACAACAATGCGTATGAGCAATGGCAGGTTGTGGATATTGTTCTGTTATCCCCATAACTGGTATCCAATAATATTGTGCTAGGTCGGCGCCAACTTTTGTCAGAAAGAAGCAAATCTTCACTCTTGAACCTTGCAATGGGGAAATGGGTAGGCAACGCTTAACGCCAGCAGGTGTTTACACACTTGGTAGGGAAGGCAGTTAGATCTTGGGAAGGTGTCCTTCAACCCACCACACTGGATGTTGTGGAAACTGATAGAACTGCAATCTAAGGACTTCAGGCTGGGGAAGATTTAGAAGATGCCTCAAGAGAAGGGAAAACACCAGACTTCCTTATCCAGATCGGTGCTGCTGGATAGGGGAGCACCTGCCTTTTAGATAAGGCCTCGACTTGAATGAGGTTTCTATTTTGTTTTGTTTTGTTTTAAGCCTTTTCTCAGGCTTTCAGCTGTTACAAAAAGCAGGTTTTCAGATTTTCAAAGTTCAAGGAAGAGGCTAATTCTGCCATTTCAGGTACGTTGTTAATTTCTCTTAAAAAGAAAAAAAAAACCCTCCTCCTGAGACAAGATAATATATCTAGTTGTTGAATTACTGAGTCCTTGGTATTCTCTGACCTTGGCTATTTGTTTGTAGATATTCAATTAGGTAACCTCATCAGTGCTGATAACGTTACCCAGTCTGCTAATGAAAAGTCTGCAAACAAACAACCAAGCTACCCCCCCAGAAGATGTTATATTGAGAGACTGGTGAATCTTGGAAAAAATATCCAGGAACAATCCACCCTCTTATTAATTGATAGCTGCGACTTCATATTGAACAACATTGTTATATGTATTTATTCATGTATGTTTTCGTTATTATATAAAAGTCACCCAAGAAACAATCTTTTTCCAGTCCAGTTCTGTCTACGTTTATTCCAAAGATTTCTGTTGAGCTCTGTTACTCCCAGGTAAAATATACATAGAATATCAATTTTGCACTAGCATTTATTTCAGGGTCTACTGAGTGATAAGATCTAAAATAAAATTCAATTATGGTTTATTTATTGCGAGTGTAACTGGAATAATTGAGGGGAAAAGTTAGTTAATTATAGACCTTATCATGGTTGCTCACACATGGCCAGATATTTAGACTGGATTTGGCCTTTTTGTCCACTTGCCAGATCCTTCCCAAGAACCTGGAATAGGCAGATGTTGTTTAATAATATGAAGGCATCTTTGCAGAATTAAGCTGTTCCAAGTAAAGGTTAGAATCATCCCATGGTGATAGTGCCAGTGGTTTTCAGGTAGTGGTCCAGTTGAGATTGTACCCAAACAGCCTATTACCAAGAGTACTATTTTTGTTTTCTTCTGCCACACTAATTCTACTTCTATTTGTAGTCTTTATATTTTCTGTTTTTCCTCCAGTTCTTTTTCTTCTATTTTGATATTTCCAGGTACTGCAATGTCTACTAGTATTCCAGGGTGTTTTGTCTTTCCTGTCAACAATTTTTAAGTCTGAGGTGTTGTATCGCAATTGCTGGCTGGTCTGTTTGAATTCTAAAGTCACAGAGCACTTTAATTTGTTTTTTTTTTAATTACTTTGTCTCTTCTGTGGTCCCACCAGGTCTTGCTTGCTGGTGAATGGTATTTCTTGCAGATATTCCAATGTGCAAGTGTTGCTATTTGGTCTTTCTCTTGATTGTGATCAACCTGTATGATATTTTTGCAGTAGTTTATTAGGTACTCCACTGTTTCTTCAACTTTTTTGCAGTGGCGCCAAAAACGCTGTTTTCTCAGTTCCGGCTGGTTTATACATTTGTTCTTAATGCTTGGAATTGGATCCTGCATCGCTTTCTTCAACTTTCCTGCTCTTAGACATTTACAGGTCTTGTTATCTGCTTTGTCTGCTAGGTTTTTTTTTTTTATGTACTGGCTACTTTGCCTTCCAATGTCTCCTTTCTGTTCTTCGTTTGATCTTTCTTGTAGGCCAGTTTGGTCTCCTTGTTATTCAGTAAACCTTCGTGGTATACAGTACTAGCTTCACTGCATCTTCTTTGGTGTCCTTCAGATATTTTTCCATGCTCTATTTTCTTCTTGCAAGTACATTGTTTGATGTTCTTGCAAAATTCCATGTCCACCTGTGTTGCTAGATAAAGACAACCTCTCAACTTCTCTTTTCTTTCATCTGGCATGCTGATCTTATTTTCCAATCTGCTCTTTCCATTTTGCTGATGAATTTTTGGCTTTTTTGGGTTGTTGTTTTCCATCCAAGTTCTTCAGTTATAACTGCAGCTATGCTGTACATGGGTTAATTTGTTTATTGCGGTGAGCTCATGCTTACCTTCAGTACTACAGTACTAACATCTTTTAATACTTGTGCTAGCTGGGTTTTTTTTGTAAAAAGCTTCAAAGCAGGCAACATTATTCTTTCATTTTTGTGGTGTTATAGATACTCAGTTATTCTTCATTTCAGTTCCTCTATTTTCAGTCAGAAGACTTTGTTCTTTCTGAGGAGAAAACAGAGGAAAGGGGCCTGGTTTGCTAATGAAAATGGTTCAATATCTTTCTGGCTTCCTTTATTGCTAATTTCCCTGGTTTGCCTCTACAGTCTGAGCTTCTACTGGCAAGGTATCAGTTACCTTGATAGATCTTTGCAGTTCTTCCAATTCTGCTCCTGTGAATACTTTATATTATAAATCAATTTTGATCTGCTATTTTCTGTTTTGTTATTTCTGATTTTGGATGTTGCTATTTCCAGATTTGATGAGTTCTTTTCAGATACTCTTTTCTCACTGAACTTGATTTGTAATAGCAAATCATTATTTCTTTATTTTCAATCTGTACATTTGCAAAGGGTGAACGTTTTTTCTTCTTCTAGCAGTCCTGCAGCTTCTGGCCCTGGTTGTTCTGCAATCCTTTGGTCACCAGATATCCAGGAAGTCCCAACGCTTGGCACCTAGTCTTTGTTGGTCTGGGCAATGACTAATCTGGTATAAGTTTCTCTAAATTGTTTATGAGACACACATTCTTTGTCTGGCTCCCCTGATGAGGCCTGTCCAGTGTAGTTGAATCTTCTCTGGCAAAGCTGGCCTCTTCCTCAGAGCATACAAGTCCCATAGCCATTTCATTGGGACTGTATTATGGTTGGTCACACAGTCAGCCAGATATTTAGACTGCCGCTGCATTTTTATCCGCCTATCCCAAGGGCACGTGATAGGCAAATGTTGTTTGACAGTGTTATAAGTATTATTATAGATTATATAAGCTTTCAAAGTAAAGCTGCCTTTTGCAATTGAGTGAAGGTTATTTGGTCTTCAAGTGGGGCTCGAGATGTTTTGGAATTGCACCAAGGGCACCTATTACAATTGCTAGTTCTTTTGCTTTTTTTCATCCTACTTCTATTTTAGGTCTTTATATTTTGTTATCTTCTCCAGTTCTTTCTCTTCAATTCTGCTGTCTCCAAGTACTTTCTTATTCAACAGTTATTTATTTATTTTATTTATTTATTTGATTTGCCAATTGTTTACAAGATAATAAGTATAAGTGTATACATAGTTGTGAATACATGAAATG